AACTACCGGTCCTTTTATATATATCAATGCTTTGTAATATAAGTAAATGGTATTAATTAGTCTTTTTGACTTTTACTTGCCGTCAATATCAACGCGTGTATAGACTCCCCTCCCTCAACGAGTGTACTGTTGCTCACAACGTCTCCTGCACGGGGAGACGACTCCATTGCAGATGAGCCGAGCGGCACGGAAGGAGAATGCCAGGCGGCATGGAAGGAGAACGCCATGCGACTCTATTTCACGAACTTTGCTTTTTGGATTAAATATTATTTTAACGTCGGTATTTAATTTCATAATATTGTTATTTTATCGTGCGATCCGTGTATTTTTAGTAGAAAAGTTTAGTTGTTCCGTAACAACGCACGGACATGAACCTAGTAAAAAACTAGATTCAAAGATCTTTCTAATGATACTAATTATATACCATAAATATTAATATTTTTTAATATATATTTTATTAAAATTGTTTATCAGAAAGTGAAATAGATAAATATTTTAGGACGGAGGGAGGTTGTCCTGGCCATCCGAGAGAAGGATATAACGCTCGCGATTTGTGATGGCGGCCGTCGAACACCTCGTGAACCACACGAAGACCGCCTCAAATGTTTGTGCCGCCTTGGGAGACAAGGGACTGGGACTCCACGGCGGCCTTGGCCGAGGTTGCCCCGGCGGCCCTGCGCTTCACAGCATTTGGGCCGGACAGCAAGTAGCTTCCTGGGTCGCGCAGTCCGCTGGGCCAGTGGGCATCATCGGTGCGTCTGGCCTGCAGCAAGCTAATGGCCGCGCGCACGGCACGGTCGGCGCTTGCCCTTTTAGTACCAAACAGCTTACTGAAGCTGATGGCAGGAGGGAGCGCAGCTATTTAGAAGTGTTTGGACGCCTTCTGGAGAGCACGCAGCTGCGCAGTAAGCACAAATACCGTGTGCATTATTGCAGCATACGCTCATTTTTGGAGGAGGTTTTCTGTTGTAGGGAGGAGCCCAACAAATCAATACAGTTTTGTTTATAAAAAGAATTATGTGTTCTTTTCATTCTTGGAGCCCAACAAGTTGCTTTGGGAGTTGAGGAGCCCAGGAGGTTGCTTTAGAGATTGAGGAGCCCAGGAGGTTGCTTTAGAGATTAGTTGAGGAGCCCAATAGGTTGCTTTGAGGCGAGGCGCCAACAAGTTATTTCAGTCTTTCAGAGAGGAGCCAAGTTGCTTTGAGAGGCGCCCAAAAAGTTATTTCAGAGATAGTGGAGCAATTTGCTTCCAGAAACAGAGGTAACGTTCAACTGGTATGTTTATTGTTGTCAGGCGGATACAGAATCTGGCCATCTTTCCACCTATTCGTGTTAATTTAGATCAGCCCCTAGAAAAGGGGGTACGAATATGGATGAAATTTGCGGCAATCAATTCATCGTCCAAAATGCTGACCACATCGACATCGTGGCATGCAACATGTTCTTCTCATTCTTCGTGTTTTCCAAGCTCTAGTGTAGAATCGAAGGCATAGCCCTCGCGCTCGTGTCCACCTCATGGATCTTTCTTACCGCCGAGCACCGCGACGTGGTGGATCATGTCGGTCAAGTCGGCGTACGACGACCCACCTTCCTCCATGGCTGCCTTCGCCTTCGCGGCGAGGTCCTTGGTCCTCGCTCTCCTCGCCGTCCCCTTGGGCCCCTCGTCCATCAGCTCGGCCACCGCTTTCTCCACGGCGGCGCTCGTCACCTGCACCCCCTCGGCCTCCTTGGGTAGGAACATGGCGGGCACCTTGACATCGGACCTGACGCCGACATCGAGGACGTCTACGAGCAGCCGCTCGCTGCTGAACTGATCGGAGAAGTTGGGCCACGTCAGCACCGGCACGCCGTGGGCGATGGCTTCCAGCGCGGCGTTCCACCCGCAGTGGGTCAAGAAGCCGCCCACCAAGGGGTGCGAGAGGATGGTCACCTGCGGCGCCCACCCGCGGACCAGGAGCCCCCTGTCCTTGACGCGCTCCTCGAACCCCTCGGCGAGCCACGCCTGCACGTCGGCGTTGGAATTGGCCTCCTTGATGGCCCAGACGAACGGCCGCTCCGACGCCTCGAGGCCGCGGCCGAGCTCGATGACCTGCTTCGCCGGCAGGTGCGCCAGGCTGCCGAAGCTGATGTAGAGCACGGACGACGGCGGGCGGGCGTCTAGCCACGACACGAAAAGGCCGGCGTCGACGTCCGGGCGGTTGCCCCTGCTGGCCCTGGCGTCCGCTACCAGGCCGCCGGAGGCGCACGTCGGCCCGATGGCTCACGTCTTCCGTCCCAGTGCCTCCGCGTAGCGGTCGACGAAGACGCCCTCGATGTCGCGGAAGGTGTTGAGCAGCAGGCCGTCGGCGGTGGCCTCGGCCTCGTCGACGTCGCGCTGGAAGCCCTCCGCGCCGGGCCACTGGAAGAAGCCGCGGAACGTGGCCTTGTTCGCGACGGCGGGCACCGGGAAGTCGGGAACCTCGAACGTCTCCAGCTCGTCGGCGACGCGGTCGTGGACGCCGTGCTTGGACAGGCTGTGCATGGCGAGGAGGAAGTAGGTGGACGGGCAGTGGAGCACCAGGCGCGGGATGCCGTGGCGGGCGCACACCCCCGCCGTCCACGGGTTGCATGAGTCAGCGATGAGGCAGTCCAGGCGTCGGGGCAGCGACCGCACGTACTCCTCCAGCGGCGCGTCCATGCTCCACGCGGCCTGGAAGAAGGGCAGGAAGTGCTCCCTCTCCGTGAGCAGGTCCATGTTCTCCAGACCCTCCGACAGCCCGTGGCCCAGGCCGGGGAACGCGATCTCCGCGATCTCGACGTCGAACCCCGCCCACCGGGCGCTTTCTACGATGGCCCGGTTGCGCGCGGCGTTGACGGGCGTGGTGACCACGGTGACTCGCGCGCCCCGGCCGGCGAGGAGGCGCGCCAGGTCCACCATCGGGATGATGTGGCCCTGCGCCACCAGCGGCACGAGCAAGAAGTGAAGCCCCGCCATTGCTACCCGCCTACTATCCACTGCTTGCCTCTGTGCTTTCTCGCTAGCTGCAATGGCGGGAGCGCGTGCACCTTATAGACTCGATCGTCATCTCGACATGATCGACCGATGCGGAGTCTGCGAGTCGAAGCTCGAGGTTGACGACGTGAAGGGGGGCCGGATGCCAACCACGTACGCCTGACGTGCACACCGTGGTAGATCTAGGGAGCAGTAGACACAAGGAACCGGAGTCCACTGGCCGAGAGGGGCCGATGCGATAAGGAGGGTGAGGCCGGGAAGAGCCGAACGCGGCATAGCATTGTGTTTGGAGTCTCGTGATTGGTCTGAACTGACGAGTGGAGACAAGGGAGGTTGCGGCGGCTGTGGCCACGCTGTGGAAGATGGCAAATATGGCGGGCGAGCCAAGATTGTGTTTTGTACAAGGAGACTGCAGTCCAAGTCTGCTAAGATCGAGCAAGGCTTCCGCTTTCGCCGTCATCCATGTCCAGTGATCGGGAAATCTGGCCTGGCGGCTGTCAGCATGTTTGGGAGGCCGTATCGTATCGTGGATTATTTATTGTTGGCTGGTTTAGTGTGAGAGAAAAACACTGTTCTCGGCTGAAAATTTACGATCATTTACGAGCAAGCGAACAGGCTGTGTAGAGTCTAGTCCAGGCTAACAAGTAGCAACTAGCAAGGCCGTGTGGCGGTGTGGGTCGCATTACAGGAAGCGCTGGACGAATATGGTGCACATCTTCTGCCAAATCAAAAGAAGAAAGAGAAAGCAAAATGCTGCGCATCTTCTGGTTTGTTTATGGATTTTCCCCTGTAGATTAAGTTTTTTTTACAACACTCCTGTAGATTAAGTTGACCCTAGGTGTTAGTTTTCAAACGTTCCAATTCAACGCCTTCCCCTTTTGTTTCTCCTTCGTGCTAAGATTCACCGTTTCTTTTTTCAATAAATGGAAATAAGTACTAGGCTTCATCTTCGTTAAAGAGAAATCAGGCCAACTTATTACTTCCTCTGTCCCAAAATTTTTCTAGCATAAAAATTTATTTGCAGAGATAAATCAATCTCTACGAGATTAAACAGTCCGCTGACTCATTTATTTTTCTCGAAGACCCCTCATATTGACTGCACCCCCCTCTCTTGCCCCTCTTTTTTCATCAATCTAGGTTTGAGTTTCTACAGTTAGAGATGGCTGTAATAAATACCAGTACTCCAATTAATGAAGGGTAGTATGGATACCGAATCTATTTATTCAGAGACAAAGAAAATATAACCCCCAACACTTTAAGGGCATGTTCGGCTGGCCGGCTTCGGCTGGCTGGCTGACTTTTTTTTCTCAACCGGAGTAGTGTTTTTCTCTCACAAAATTCCAGCATGAACAATGTTTTCTAGTTGCTACAGTAGAAATTTAATACCAGCCGAACACTCTCTAAGACAAACAAATAAATTTATGACAAAATAAACTGAAAACCCAATTTTAAATATAAGACCATCCGAAAACGCAGAGAGCTTCAAAGCTGCAGTCTCCAAATTACACCGAACCTCTAAAACGAGCGCTTGTTGATCTTCACGATGTTACAGATGGACGCACCGTTTCCTTAAAAAAACACTGTTCGCTTCGCTGAAAAAACAAGCTGAAACACTATTCCGACTGATTTGCTGTAAGAAAAAATACTATTTAAACTGAAAAGTACAGATTATAAGACAAACGAACAGGGTCAAAGAGCACAGTAGGTTCGCCGATACCACATCCGTTGTTACCTTCACATCGCCATCGATTTATTCCACCACGCAAAACGGTAGCAATACAACAGCGCTGCATTTCTCTTTAGCTCATACTACGGTGTTGCCATTGCCACACTGTTAAAAACAAAATGTGATCGGGAAGTTCAAATTGAACGTCCATTGAATCCTATCAGCCCCTTGGTCACCACCGGGCACCGAATCAAATGGAGATGGTGGATTATATACAGTTTACTCGTCTACTTGTTGTGTTTATTTATGGTCCAAGATGCTAATCATATGGTGCTATGCAGCTTAGGACTCTACTGACAAGGCGGCGCCGGCTCCTATGTTCTCCTTGTTCTTACTTCCAAGCAGTGGCGCAGAAGGCTGAGTGCTCACGCCCGTGTCCTCCTCGTGGCTCTTCTTCATGCTTAGCTCCGCGACGTGGCGCAACATGTCGTCCAACTCGGCGTACGACGACCCGCCTTCCTCCATGGCTGCCTTCGCCTTCGCGGCGAGCTCCTTGGCCCTCGCCCTCCTCGCCGTCCCGTCCGGGGCCACGTCCATGAGCTCGGCCACCGCCTTCTCCACGTCGGCGCTCCTCACCTGCACCCCCTCGGCCTCCTCCGGTAGGTTCATGGGCGGCAGCTTGGCGCCGGACCTGACGCCGACGTCGAGGACCTCGACGAGCAGCCGCTCGCTGCAGAACTGGTCGGCAACGTAGGGCCACGTCAGCACCGGCACGCCGTGGGTGATGGCTTCCAGCGTGGCGTTCCACCCGCAGTGGGACAAGAAGCCGCCCACCGCGGGGTGCGAGAGGATGGTCACCTGCGGCGCCCACCCGCGGACGAGGAGGCCCCTGTCCGCGACGCGCTCCTCGAACCCCTCGGCGAGCCACGCCTGCACGTCGGCGTTGGATTTGGCCTCCTTGATGGCCCACACGAACGGCCGTTCGGACGCCTCGAGGCCCCGGGCGAGCTCGATGACCTGTTTCGGCGACAGCTGCGCGAGGCTGCCGAAGCTGATGTAGAGCACGGACGACGCCGGCCGGGCGTCAAGCCACGACAGGACGAGGCCGACGTCGACGTCCGCGCGGTTGCCCCGGCCGGCCATCGCGTCCGCGTCCAGGCCGCCAGAGGCGCACGTCGGCCCGATGGCCCACGTTTTCCGTCCCAGCGCCACCGCGTAGCGATCGATGAAGACGCCCTCGAGGTCGCGGAACGTGTTGATCAGTAGGCCGTCGGCGGTGGCCTCGGCCTCGACGACGTCGCGCTCGTAGTTCTCCATTCCTGGCCACTGGAAGAAGCCGCGGAACGTGGCCCTGTTCCCGACGGCGCGCACGGGGAAGTCCGGTACCTCGAACGTCTCCATCTCGTCGTCGGCGACGCGGTCGTACACGCCGTGCGTGGACAGGCTGTGCGTGGCGAGGAGGTAGTAGGCGGACGGGCAGTGCAGCATGAGGCGAGGAATGCCGTGGCGGGCGCACACCCCCGCCGTCCACGGGTTGCACGTGTCGGCGATGAGGCAGTCGGGACGCCGGGGCAGCGACCGCACGTACTCTTCTAGCGGCTCGTCCATCTTCCACAAGGCCTGGAAGAAGGGCATGAAGTGGTCTTTCTCCACCACCATGTCGACGTTCTCCACCCCCTCCGGCAGCCCGAGCCCCGGGCCGGGGAACGCGACCTCCGCGAGCTCGACGTCGAGCCCCGCCCGCCGCGCGCTGTCGACGACGGCCCGGTTGCGCACGGCGTTGACGGGCGTTGTGACCACGCTGACGCGCGCGCCGCGGCAGGCGAGGAGGCGCGCCAGGTCCACCATCGGGATGATGTGGCCCTGCGCCACCAGCGGCACGAGCACGAAGTGAAGCCCCGCCGCCGCCATTGGCTGCCTGTGCCTGTTAACTCCTAGCCTCTCTTTGTCTGTCTCTCTGCTTTCTCGGTAGCTTAGATGGCTGGCGCGCGCGTGCGCCTTTTTAAACAAGGAGAGCTAGTCACCGCGACGTCCGATGCCCAGGTTGCATGCCCAAGCTCGAGGTTGAAGACGTGACGCGTACACGCACCGACGCACGCCTGTCGTGGACGAGGGAGATCTAGAGAGAAGTGGCCGAGACGGGACGACGCGATAAGGAGCGTGAGGCCGGAAGAGCAACAGGAGCACAGGACAGATCAGTGTACTAGCTGTGTTCGAATTTGCCTCATTATGTGAGGAGGAGATTCGGAGAATTCAAGCCGTGTCGTGTCTATACACCTACACACAAGGAGGGCAGATTTTACATGCCTAGCCACTACTGTACCGTTAATAAGTAAGATTACAGCAATCATATTGTCGCGCCAGGTAGGGGTGTGCGCGCTGATCCTCAAGAGTTAGACAGTTAACGCATCAGGTAGGGATGTGCGCGCTGATCCATGGTGAACTAGATGGCAGACCTCGATTCCACCAAACGGCGGCAACTCGGCGACGGAATCAATCTACTACAGCTGCAACTCAGCGACCTCCGTTGCATATCGACGTCTACATCTTGTCATCATCCCGAGAAACTCGTTAATGGCGAAATCCATCTACAATAGCGACAAAAGAAGACTCTCGAGGATCAACGTTCCCGCCAGGATCAACCTTCACCGTCGTTTCCTGTTAGATTGATTTCTAATCCTAACTGGACCCAATGGCCCAGTTGGGCCTTTGATTCGCGCCTTGATCGGGGGCGCCCAGCCCACCATAGCTGGAGGGCCCCTGTCACCTTGCGCTATAAAAAGAGGTGGGGGTCGATGGCTCTTATCACGAGGTTGACCTGAGCCGAGCTCTCCACCGACATCTAAACCCTAATCCGATCAGAGAGGGGCGCAGCCAGTGACGGGAAGCCACCAGCCGCGCCGCCTCCGGACTGCGTCACCGGACTTCGCTGCCTTCACCGCCGGTCGCCACTGCACATCACCGACGTCCTCTTCCCCGACCATCGCTGCCCTAGCGCAGATCCCATGGTGGACGTGAGCGGATATTCCACAACGGTGTCAGGTTTGACACGTCCATCTTCTACTCCACCCCTCTATGTCTCTCGTTGCAATAGTAGATGTATTAGGGCTCGTGATTCTATTCAACAGCCGATAGCCCCTCGGATCTATCCCTAGTACGATCCACAGATCTAACAATGGTACCAGAACCATTGGTTTCTAGGGTTTTTAGATCTAGAATGGATAAACTGATTAGAAGGTTAGATCCAGTGTGGGTCTAACAAGAACAGAGGGTTCGGTTGAACCCGAATCCCTAACTGGGTGAAAGAAAGAAGGAGGGCTCGATTTTCACGTCTAAACCGAACCCTAAAACCCACAATCAATTCGAGAAAAAAGAACAACAGTGAAACCCTAACCCTAACTTTGATCCCATCCCCAATCGGTTGAATCCGAGAACAGAAAAAGAGAAGCAAATCAAAGAGATCGATGTTGGGGAAGGGGAGACCTACCTCGCTGCTGCAGAGCGCTTCTGTCTCGTCGGCGCGCGGGGAGAAGAAGGCCGAGCCGGGCGTTGCTCACCGGGTTCCGGCCAAAGAGGCGCCGCAGCCAGGCCGCTCGACAGCGGCGCGCTCACCCGCTGGGGAGCGTGCACGCCGGCGAGGGGGCCAGCGACGGCGCCATGGCTGCCCGCTCCACCGTCGTCGCTCTCGGTTGCTCGCTCGGTGCTGCTGTGCTGAGGAGAGAAGAGAGAGCGCGAAGAGAGAGAGAGAGAGAGAGCAAAGTGTCGAATGAGCTAGGGTTTTCGGGTCGGCCGGCCGCCACGGCGTTTTCATTCGCGCGATATCGTCGCTCGGCCGTCGGATCGACGCGGACGACTCAGATCGAAAGCGGCCAATGATCGACCCAAAGTGGAAGCGCAGCGGCCGTCGTGCGGCTTTGTTGGACCAGCCCAGTTGCGGTGCAGGTGCGGCGCAAAATGCAGCGAGAGAGAGAAGTTAATGGGCCATTTTATTACAATGGGCGAATCAACAGTGCTCAAATGAATCAGTTTTTTTCTTTTTCCAGTAAATTTTTATTTCCTGGAAAACGAATAAATGGCTTAAAGAAAATAGAAAATAGAATTTTTCTGTGGGTAAAATTCACTAAATTAAATTATTTTCCGCTGCGTATTTAAAGATGTTATTTTCATTATTAAATTCGAACCAACGGGAGAATTTAATTTTAAAAATGGATATGTTTTAATTGATTATAATATTGTTATTATTCTGACCAACGTTGATTAATGGCAATATGATGATATTTTATCGTGCATTAATTCTATTTCTGCCCAACGATGATGTAGAATTAGTGTAGAGGACAATTGTATGTTTTAATTTTGATCAACGTTGAAACTAAGTCATGTAATTGTTATTGTTATTATTTATGTTCTCACTTGATATGAATTGTGTTTTTAGACGGATACAACTTGATGGGTGGTATCAAAGAGATCCCCACTCTCAAAGGTGATAACTACACGAAGTGGAAGAAAAAGATAGACCTGGTCTTCATCTTGGCTGAGGTGGACTGGGTAGTCACCACACCGTGTCCCACAGAGCCTGTGACACTGGTGAGAGAGACAAACGAGACTGATGCCGCTTGAACAATAAGGGAAAGGGATTTTGCATCCTAAAAGATGTCATATGACCTTGAGCATAGGAAGTGAGTCACTGCCAACAAGAAATGTTTGGCTGTGATAAAGAATACGATTGAACCTGCAATTGTGGGCTCAATCCCATAGTGTGACACCGTCACCGAGTACCTTGATAGAATAAAGAGTCAGCTCACTGGCTCTTCAAAGACATATGCTACCTAGCTGATAAAATAGCTGATGACAGAGAGGTACTCTGGTAATGGTGGCATAAGAGAGCACATATTAAGGATGAGCAATCTAGCATCCAAGCTAAAACCAATGGATCTGACTCTTAAGGATAAGTTCCTTATCCATCTGATTTTTGCTTCCTTGCCAAAAGAGTTTGACACATTTGTTGTCAACTATAACATACAGCTCGAAAAGTGGGACTTGGAGGAAAATGTTTACATGGCACAACCGAAAGGTTTTGTCATGGAAGGAAAAGAACGAATGGGATGCCGCCTAAAAATACATTTATGGATTAAAACAAGCTTCAAGATAGTGGTACTTGAAGTTTGATCAGACAATAAGAAATTTTGGGTTTAAAGAAAATGTAGAGGACAATTGTGTCTATACAAAGTTTAAGAATGGGAAATTCATCTTCCTTGTCATGTATGTGGATGATATCTTACTTGCTAGTAGTGATGTCAGTCTACTACTAAAGACAAATAAGTTTTTGACCTCAAAATTTGATATGAAAGATCTTGGTGAAGCTTCGTTCGTTCTAGGGATCGAGATTCACCGAGATAGAAGTAAAGGGGTATTAGGACTGTCACAAAAGGCATACATAGAGAAAATCTTAAAGAAATTCAGTATGCACAAATTTAGTTTCTCACCTGCTCCTATAGTCAAGGGCGACAGATATGGGGATTTTTAATGTCCTAGGAACCAATATGAGATCAATCAAATGAAAGCGGTTCTATATGCTTCAGCTGTCAGAAGCTTGCAATATGCTCAAGTATATACGCGTCCTGACTTGATATTTGTTACCGGATTACTTGGCAGATTCCAGAGCAATCCTGGAATAGAACACTGAAAATTAGTAAAGAAAGTCTTGCGTTATTTGCAAGGAACGAAAAGCCTAATGATGACGTATAGAAGATCTGATTCACTCCATATAGTGGGGTATTAATATTCTGATTATGCGGGAGATGATAGAAAATCCACGTCTGGATATGTATTCACTCTCGCAGGGGAGCTATTTCATGAAAAAGCTTAAAACAAACCGTCGCTATATCGTCCACAATGTATGCCGAGTTTATAGCGTGTTATGAGGCAATGGGGCAGGTGAACTGGCTAAAGAAGTTCATACCCGGTTTAAAGGTGGTTGGCGACATCTATAGACCACTTAAGTTATACTGCGATAATAATCCGGCATTACAGTATGCTCACAATAATAAGTCAAGTGGTGCTGCCAAATACATTGACATAAAGTATTATGTTGTGAAAGATAAAGTCCAGGATCAAGTCATAAGTCTTGAGCATATAAGTACAGTAAAGATGCTTGTGGATCTGCTTACAAAAGGCTTACCACCCAACGTGTTCAGAGAACATGTTGTACTACTGGAAACCCATCCTTTGCCAAGGGCTTCTGGGTTTGCCGAGGGCTAGATCTCGAACACTCGGCAAAGGCTCTATTTGCCGAGGGCCAGCCCCAGGAGCCCTCGGCAAATATAGGCCCTCGACAAAATAAATCTTGGCCCTCGACAAATTGGCCTCGGCAAATATGGCGGATGGGTCACGGCGGCCACAGGCGTCAGTCTTTGTCGAGTGCCCGCCGTCAGACACTCGACAAAGTTTTTTATTTTATTTTTTTAAATTTTCTTTGCCGAGGGCCATTGGCCAAGCCCTCGGCAAAGATCCCCCTTGCCGAGGGCCAAGCTAGGCCCTCGGTAAATATATTTTTTTGGTTTTTTAACCTAGTTTTTTTGTGGTGTTATAATACATTATTTAAAACTCAATTTTAAAATTGGGACCAATTTTGACTTTTTTTATATATTTCCCTAATTTATTTTTTTTCGTTGATTTTTTTCGAATATTTCAAATTTGAACTGCAGTTGGATGGAATAATGCAATTTAGTGATTCAAAAATGTTTTTCATGGTATTTGGTGTATGTTGAGTCCCTATCCACGAACTCACATCAAATTTCGGGCATCTTCTTCACGTAACATGACGAGGAACTTGTTCCAAACCTGTTTTAAATTATAAAAATTATTATACAAATTCACAAAACTTGCTCGGTGTCATAACATGAACCATCATGATAACATAAAAAAGTTCGTGATTTTCGTATTTCATGTATGGATTTTATATAATTTAAAAATACTTTTCCGATAAGTTCTTCGTCATGTTACGTGAAGAAGATGTCCGAAATTTGATGCGAGTTCGTGGATAGGGACTCAACATACAACAAATAGTATGAATAACATTTTTCGAATCACTAAATTACATTATTCCATCCAACTGCAGTTCAAATTTAAAATATTCGAAAAAAATCAACGAAAAGAAATAAATTAGGGAAATATATATAAAAAAAGTTAAAATTAGCCCAAATTTTAAAATTGAGTTTTCAATAATGTATTATAGCACCAAAAAAAAATTAGGTTCAAAAAACAAAACAAAAAATCTTTGCCGAGGGTCTAGCCTAGCCCTCGACAAAGAGGATCTTTAGCCGAGGACCTGGCCAATAACCTCGGCAAAAAAAATTAAAAAAAAATAAAAAATATTTGCGGAGGGCCCTGATATGGATCCTCGGCAAATGGCTCCACCCTAAATCGGCCAGCGGCCTGACCCAAAATCCCCACCGATATTTCATATGCCGCTGCTAGCCCCGCTGCCGCCCCGCGCCCCGGTGCACGACTACGCCGGCGAACGGTTCACGGCCGACAGCAACGCCTTCGTCCTCCACGGCGGCAGCGAGGGCGTCTACGCCTCCGCTAAGGCCGCCGCGTTCATCCGGTACGTACGTATGAAACCGCGTCAGAGGATCAATTCATCGCTTTTGCCTTCTCGAGGACTTGGGGAGGGGATTTCGAGGTGACGCTGACGCGATGTATTTCTTGATCGGCCGACGGCGCGCGCAGATTCGAGAAAGGTTGCGTTCAGAAGGACGCCCGAGTCTGCCGCTGCGGCCGAGGAGGACGGCAACCGCACGGCCACGGTCACGGCGGTCATCTTCGAGGCCGTCGGGGGCGCGGACGTCTCCGTCTCCGGCGGTCGCGCGCTCTGCTGCACGCCGGACATGGCGAGGCTCGGGGCGTGCACCGAGGGGACGGCGACGTACCGCGCGCGGAACGGCACCGGCTGGCCCAGGGTGTTCGCGGCCTCCTTCCTCCCGGGTAGCCTCGAGGCGTCGTTCCCGGACGAGACCGTCGCCATGGCGCGCACCGGCATGTACACCCTCCTGTTCGTCCACTGCGACGCCTCGCTCGCCTGTGGGCAGGTGGCCGCGCGGGGCAAGACCATCTGGAAGAACAGCCGCGGATACCTCCCGGGGCGGATGGCGCCGCTGCTGCCCTTCTACGGCGCCACGTCGCTGGCGTTCGCGGCGCTGGCGGCGTACTGGTTCGCGCAGTGCGCGCAGTTCTGGCGGGAGGTGGTGCCGCTCCAGAGCTGCGCCACGCTGGTGATCGCGCTGGGAATGCTGGAGGCCGCCACCTGGTACTTCGACCTCGCCGAGTTCAACGAGTCCGGCGTCCGCCCCCGCGGTGCCACGTTCTGGGCGGCCACGTCCGGCGCGCTCCGCGGCGCGGCGGCGCGCGTGCTGGTGCTGGCCGTGGCAATGGGCCACGACGTGGTGCGGCCCGCGCTGGCGGGGCTCAAGAGCGCCAGGGTGGCTGGCCTCGGCGCCGCGTTCTTCGCCGCCGCGGAGGCGCTCGAGGTCAGCGAGAACGTCGGCACCGTGAGCGACCGCTCGCCGTCGCCCACGAGGAGGCTGTTCCTCGTGCTCCCTGTGGCGGCCCTCAACGCGGTGTTCGTGTACTGGATATTCAGCTCGCTGTCGAAAACGCTGAACAAGCTCAAGGTGAGGAGCAAAGCATGTTCCGGTCGACCATTTCGGCTTGTTTTCTTGAGAATTCTTCAACATCATAAATGCAGGAACTTGTCAATGCTTGCAGGCAAAACGAATGACGTCGAAGCTGGAGATGTACCGGAGGTTGACCAACGCTTTGATCATCGCGGTGGCTGTGTCACTCGGCTGGATCACATTTGAGGTAAACTCTACCAAACAAACCCCCTTTTTTGTGTAAACAGGAGCCTGCATTCATTCAACTACTCTTGCTGTCCAGTCTCTCGCCACTCCAGAATTGTTCCTTTCAGCATCTGATCTTAGTGAACACGTTCCAGTTTGAGTTGAGCACTGCATAGCCTTAGCCTGACCCATCCAGTTGAACAATCAACATTGCTAGTTTTTCTTTGGATCCTAGCCCAAATGTTCAGTCCAAGATCGATAACGAAAGACTCCTCTTCTTGTGACTTTTATCGATCAACCTGTCGCAGCCAATGTGCTGGTAAATGTTTTGGGGTGCATGATGGATAGGGAAAGAACCATCTTTTGTGACTGATCAGATGATGGCCCTGCCCTCCGGGTAACAAGTTGATCCTGTACCTCCAGAATGCCCATCTCTTTATACAGTACAAAAAGCCCACTGAATGATGTCCAGCTGAAAGAAAGAACACTTCTGCATTACCCTGCACTCCGTCTTTCCTAGACAGTGACAAAACTTGCGGTCACCAAACATCCTGCCTGACCATCTACAAATTGCTATGCGCTTTCGCTTGCAGATCCACTTCAAGTCGACGGACGAGTACAACGAGCGGTGGCGCGCGGCGTGGGTGATCCCGGCAGTGTGGCAGCTCATCTCCTTCTCGCTGCTGTGCGCCGTCTGCCTCATGTGGGCGCCCTCGCAGAGCTCGACGAGGTACGCCTACCTGGAAGACGAGGAGGAGGGCGAGGACGAGGACCGTGACGTGGAGGACACGCGGCCGCTGATCCGGCCCGGCCCGCTGTCGTACGTGGACAACTGGCCCATCTCCGTGTCCAAGGACGCCACCACCATCATTCTGAGAATCGACTCCGGCGTGTACGCGAAAGCCGCCGGCGATGGAGGCAAGCGGGTGTAGTGAAGCACAGCGACGAGAGGTTGACGATACCATACGACTATAAGAGAGCAAGTAAGGCGTTGTTGTAATATATTGTGATTTGTGGTTCACAATTATGGTTGTGATATATTGTGAGAAAATGGGTTCTGTGTGATATATATATACGTGATGGTTGATATATATATATATATATATATATATATATATATATATATATATATATATAAATGCTTGTGTCGATGGAATGCAAAAACAAAAAAAAATTAAATTTCTGCCTCATTGTCGAGGGCAATGACCAAGGCCCTCGACAAAGAAGGGTCCTTTGTCGAGGGCCGTTCCATTGCCCTCGGCAAAGATTTATTAGAAAATTTCTAGAACATTTCTTTGCCGAGGGCCATGGTTGGAGGCCCTCGGCAAAGACTTTAAAAAAAATTCTTTGCCGAGGGCCTATGGGGAAGCCTTTGGCAAAGATTTTTCAAAAAAAGAAAAAATCTTTACCGAGGGTCGTCCCATTGCCCTCGGCAAAGATTTTTTGGAAAAATTCTGCAACATTTCTTTGCCGAGGGCCATGGTTGGAGGCCATCGGCAAAGATTTTTCAAAAAAAAAAGAATAATTCTTTGTCGAGGGCCTCCGGAGACGGCCCTCGGCAAAGACTCGGCCCTCGGCAAAGACTCCGTCCCAGGCGCCGGCGTCGTGACGGCTGCTTTTCTTTGCCGAGTGCCGGTCCAACCCTCGGCAAAGGCTTTGCCGAGTGCCCGATAAAGGGCCCTCGACAAAGACCCTCTTCGCCGACTCAAAATTCCCCGAGGGCTCTTTGCCGAGGGTCGCCCTCGGCAAAGCCTTTGCCGAGGGTTAATGGGCCTTTGCCGAGGGGCCCTCGGCAAAGAGGCCGTCTCCAGTAGTGTAGCCGGCATGGGTTTAAGGGAAAGCCTATAATTCCTGGACAAAATAAGGCCTAAAGATAAGTATCTTGTCGGATACCACAAGAAGGGGTACCCTAAGCAAGAACCAAAATACTGCTTAAGCCCTACAAAAATCAAAGCCAAAGGACAACCATAAGGTCTCGGCCAATTCTCCGATTCGCCCGAGGCTTGCGCCGAGGCCTCAGACGAGAGGCCAAAGCCCTCTGCCCCGCCGAGGCCCTCTCCCCGAGGCCCCGCCCCGCAAGGCCTCGGACGGGATGCCAATTCTCCGATTCGTCCGAGGCTGGGCTCAGCAACAACCTCATCACCTCCACCCCGACCGGCTCCTCTGACAAAACATCACGCCCGGATTAATGCGCCCAACTACTCCTGCAACGTCAACCGCACACTGGCACAGTTCGGGCAGAACGACTGACGGGACAGGGGACCGGGCGCAATAGGGTTACTTACGCCATCAGGCTCATCATCATGCCCCTATCACTCAGACGCTTTGTGCTACCTAACCCCGCTCCAAGGACAAAGCGGCGTGAAAGGTCAAGTCCATGTCCTCAGAGTCTGGAAAAAGAGAAAGCCCAACCGCTCCCCCGCCAAAGACGGTGAGGGCCTCGAGGTCAAGTCCATGTCCTTTGGCCGAGGCCGGGCTCGTCCCGCATCCTCGCCGACTCACCTCAGCCACTCCTCAGCCGTCCCATCCGTGTAAGTGCGCTCGGTCACACTTTACTACGACCACGACGATGGGCGAAGGTAGGTACAAGAATGTGCGATGGGACGGCAGATCAAATCTCCTTTTACCATCCCCATCGACGACGGTGCTTATCGTGCCTTGGGACGCCCGCTCCGCACTTTTCCACTGGACCGGTACGACGCGACCCATCGAGACCCCGCACCACACACCGGTCACCTCCGCCCTCGGCAAAGCAAGCCTCGGCGCGTCACCATAAGACCCATCCGGCCTCGGACTCCACCAAATCGAGAATCCACGAGGCACGACATGTCTCTCTGCCGTGGATGGGCAAGGACTAGACATCAACAAGGACCCCACGACCTCAACAACTTCAAGCTCAGCAAAGACGGCAATCAAGTCCTTTCGCTATTCCCCTCACCATGCCGCTGCAAGATTAACTACAGAGGGCTCCACATGTAGCTCACTCGTGTACTCCTAGCTCCCCTCCTTGCACTTTTTCGTAGCTCGGGGACATATCCGGATTACACACACAACACTCAGAACACACGCTCTCCCAAGCTGCCCGAGAGCAACATCTCAAGCAGCCCACACCGTTGAGGACAAGCTCCCTCTCTCCCCTAGCTTGTAACCCCTACCGTAAGCACATCGGTGCAAGGAATACAAGATCGATTCTGGCTCGGACGAGGGCGCCAATTGCAGACCCAGATAAACCTCTTGTCTCTTTGCGTGACCATCCGGATTATGGGCACGAAATTCACTCGTTGGTTGAGGACCCCATGGTTGTCCTTTGAGCTTTGATTTTGCTTTGGCCTCTCGTATGAGGCCTCGGCGCAAGCCTCGGGCGAATCGGATAATTGGCCGAGACCTCATGGTTGTCCTTTGACTTTGATTTTTGCAAGGCTTAAGCAGTATTTTCGGTTCTTGCTCAGGGTACCCCTTCTTGTGGTATCCGACAGTAGCCCCCGAGCCTCAGGAGGAGGGCGGGCACTTTCCTGAGGTTTTGACGAGACTTGGCTCAACAGCTCCCGTCGGGATTATGTTTTGTACTTGGTGGTTCCGGTGGGTGCACGCGAGCGCACCCGCCGGGTGTAGCCCCCGAGGCCCTGGAGGAGTGGGTTTACTCTTCCAGGGGTTTTTTTCTCCGCTGAGCAAGGAGTTTTATCGTGTTTGTTGGGCCCGTGAATACGAGTTCAGGTCGCTGGGACTTGGCATAGTTGCAGGAAGAACTCTCGAGCCTCCGTATGGAGCGAGAGGGCGATCAATGGTTTCCCTGTCTTTTTTTTGATGGCCCTCACGCATCCTTTTCGCTCGGAAGAAGGGGTTTATTTGCCGAGCCCCCTCGAGTGCGAACCTAGGTCGCTGGGTCTTGACAAGGTTTGTAGGGAGAGCCCCCGAGCCTCCACACGGAGCAAGAGGGCAGTCAGGAGTTCCCCTGGCTTTTTGTGCGACCCTCGCTCATCCTTTTTGCTTGGAAGGAGGGGTGAAGTATGCCAGGCTACCCTCGGTGGGCGCGAGCGGTGACACTTCCGGTGAGCTGCTATCGGATAAGTTCGAGTGGAGGCCCGTGCCCCATTCGATAGGGGCCGGCTAGTGGTCCAGAGACGCACTCCAAAAGTACTAGAGGGCTTCTCTTGTGGGTCCCAGGGCCGTTCGATTGGCCTCAGGGGCTCGGCGCCTCCCTACGATGGGATCCCATTCGGAGAACTCCTTGCTGATCTCGGACATGACTTAGGGCATTCCGAGCGATCGCTTGCTCGAGCCTTGGCCATGTACGGGCTCGCCCATAGCTGTCCCTGATTCTGTTGTCCTGGGCGGCTGTCGAAACCCTCGGGGGCCCGACCTTCGAACCCCTGGACCGTAACGGGCTCGGTGCCCTTTTTGTCGTGTTTTTCTGAAACTCTGAGTGCGAGCTTGGGTGGCTTGCTTTCGTTTTGGGTGCAGGAAGAGCCCCCGAGCCTCCGCACGGGGCGAGAGGGCGATCAGGAGTTCCTCTGGTTCTTTAAGCGACCCCCGTGCATCCTTTTCGTTTGGAAGGAGAGATTATTTGCCGAGCCCCCTCGAGTGCGAGCCTAGGTCACTGGGTCTTGGCAAGGTTTGCAGGGAGAGCCCCCGAGCCTCCACACCGAGCGAGAGGGCGGTCAGGAGTTCCCCTGGCTTTTTGTGCGACCCTCGCGCATCCTTTTCGCTCGGAAGGAGGGGTTATTTGCCGAGCCCCCTCGAGTGCGAGCCTAGGTCGCTGGGTCTTGGCAAGGTTTGTAGGGAGAGCCCCCTAGCCTCCGCACGGAGCAAGAGGGCGACAGGAGTTCCCCTGGCTTTTTGTGCGACCCTCGCGCATCCTTTTCGCTCGAAAGGAGGGGTTGTTTGCCGAGCCCCCTTGAGTGCGAGCCTAGGTCGCTGGGTCTCAGCAAGGTTTGTAGGGAGAGCCCCCTAGCCTCCGCACGGAGCGAGAGGGCGGTCAGGAGTTCCCCTATCTTTTTGTGCGACCCCCGCACATCCTTTTCGCTCGGAAGGAGGGGTTGTTTGCCGAGCACCCTCGAGTGCGAGCCTAGGTCGCTGGGTCTCGGCAAGGTTTGCAGGGAGAGCCCCCGAGCCTCCGCACGAAGCGAGAGGGCGGTCAGGAGTTCCCCTGGCTTTTTTGTGCGACCCTCGCGCATCCTTTTCGCTCGAAAGGAGGGGTGGAATATGCCAGGCTACCCTCGTTGGGCGCAAGCGGTGACACTTCCGTTGAGCTGCTATCGGGTAAGTCCGAGTGGAGGCCCATGCCCCATTCGATAGGGGTCGGCTAGTGGTCCAGAGACGCACTCCAAAAGTACCAGAGGGCTTCTCTAGTGGGTCCCAGGGCCGTTCAATTGGCCCCGGGGTGTCGACGCCTCCCTACAGTGGGATCCCATTCGAAGAACTCCCTGTTGGTCTCGGACATGACTTAGGGCATCCCGAGCGATCGCTTGCTCGAGCCTCGGCCATGTACGGGCTCGCCCATAGCTGTCCCTAACTCTGTTGTCCTGGGGTGGCTGTCGAAACCCTCGGGGGCCCAGCCTTCGAACCCCTGGACCGTAACGGGCTCGGCGCCCAGTTCCTTAGTCTGGAAGGAATCTGCTGGGGGAATATTCCCTTCCCATCGGCTGACAACGGCAGGCGCGCCTTTTGAGGCGGTTTCTCAGGGCCTGTTGTTGCTGCGGTTAGAAGCGACGCGGTGTCAGCGGTCAGGACATAACCGTCCGTGCGATTAATGAGGAAAAGGCGGGCGCATGGGCGGTGAAATCGGATCTGGATTAACTGTGCCTGGACTCGAGGGAGACTTCCCCGATTTTGTCGCCTGACCGTTTCATCCTTTCCCTGCATAAATACGAAATGAGTCTCGCCCCTCCCCTCCTTACCTTTCCTGTACTTGCCTTTTCTGCCTTCGAGCCAT